ATATATATATATTAAATGCTTTTGAGTCTTTTTTGGTAAACCTCTTAGCCAGAAAACAGGAGTGGTTAGGTTCTAAAATTCACTAGCTTTAGTTATATATAGGCTTATGCTATTTTTTTATTTTGAATTTATAATTGTTTCTGAACACAGTAGAAACTTTTCTAAGCATGATTCAATATTTTGATTACATATACATCATTTCTTAGAGTATTTTTTTTATTGAGGGATGGGCTCTCACTGTCCCCAGTGCTGGAGTGCAGTGGAGCAGACACAGCTCTCTGCAGCCGCAAGCGCCCAGGCTCAAGTGATCTTTCTACCTCAGCCTCTTTGAGTAGCTAATGTCTGTAGACATTAATGTTGGTAGACTACAGGCCTGTACCACCATGCCTAGCTGATTTTTTTTTATTTTTCTTTTTAGAGAGGCTCTTACTATATTGCCCAGACTGGCTACACTAACCACCGGTTTCCAGCAGTCCTCCCACCACAGCCTTCCAAGTTATTGGGATTATAAAGATGAGGCTCTGTACCAAACCCGACCCATTTTCTTTCTTTCTTTCTTTTTTTTTTTATATTTAGGGACAGAGTCTCTATGTCACCCTTGGTGGAGTGCTATGGCATCACAGCTCACAGCAACCTCCAGCTCTTAGGCTTAGGTGATTCTTTTGCCTCAGCCTGCCAGGTATCTGGGACCACAGGTCCCCACCAGAATGCCTGGCTACTTTTTTGTTGGGGTTTGTCCAGGGCCGGGTTTGAACTCATCCCCCTTGGTATATGGGGCTGGCTCCCTACTCACTGGGCCACAGGTGCCGCCACCCCCCCCCCTTTTTTTTCTTGATACAGGGTCTTGCTCAGACTGGAGTGCACTGTTGTGATCACTCCTCTCTGCAATTCCATAACTGGGGCTCAAGCAGTCTTTATGCCTTGGCCTCCAAGTAGTTAATACTGTAGACACACATCAACAGGCCCAGCTAATTTTTCTGTTTGTTTGTTTTTGCATTTTTTTTGGGGGGGGGCAGGGCTGGGTTTGAACCCGCCACCTCCAGCATGTGGGGCCAGCACCCTACTCCTTTGAGCCACAGGTACTGCCCGCACCCAGCTAATTTTTTAAAAAATTTTGTAGCGGCTGGGTGCCCATAGCTCAATGGTTAGGGTGCCTGCTGCATGCTCCGTGGCTGGCTTGGGCCTGCTAAACAAAACAAAAAAATAGCTGGGTATTGTGGTGGGTACCTGTAGTCCCAGTTAGTTGGGAGGCTGAGGCAAGAGAATCACTTGACCCCAAGAGTTTGAGGTTGCTGTGAGCTATGACTCCACAGAACTCTACTGAGGGTGACTATCTCAATGTAAAAAAAAAAATATGTAGAAACACGGCTGAATGGGGTGGTTCACACCTGTAATCCCAGCACTCTGGGAGGTGAGGCGATCAGCTTGCTCAAGCTCAGGAAATCTGAAACAAGCCTGAGCAAAGGCACAACCCTCATCTCTAAAAAACAAAATAGCCAGATGTTGTGGTGGGTGCTTGTTGTCCCAGTTAACCCAGGAGGCTGAAGCAAGAGGACTGCTTGAGCCCAAGAGTTTGAGGTTGTTCTGAGCTACGATGACATGGTATTATACTGATGGCGACAAAGTGAGACTCTGTCCTTCCCCCCAAAAGAAATTTTTTTTTGCAGAAATACGTCACTTTTTTTTTAAGAGATACTGTCTCACTATACTGCCCAGGCTGGTCTCAAATTCCTGGCCTCAAGCAGCCCTACCATTAAAACCTTTCAAAATACTGGGCCACTGTACTCAGCCAGGGGTGCCAGCATCTTAGAAACAATTTTTAGGTAATTACAGATTTCCCTCAGTTCTAATAAGGACTTAAAATATAGGTGGTATTACTCTCCTTATCATAGTATGTGGTAATTTAAGATACTGACTGCCTCTCCCCACCCCCTGCCAAAAAAATAACCTTTCTCCTTGGGGCCAAAGTGTTTTATTACGCAACTCCCAAGGTAGAGATGTGAGTTACCTGTGCTTCACGAGGCCCCAGGCTCAAAGCTTTAAATACAAATTAGTGTCGTTAATGTGTTAAAGAATTAGTAACTTCTCATTGTGACATAAGAGCCATTTCTATTTTATTTACATTGGATTAATTGAATCAAGTCAAGCTTTAAATAATTATTTTCTAAAATTAGTTTAATTTCTGTTTTGTTATTATAAACATAACACATATTTGTGTGTATACTTGAAGAAATTTTAGGCAGTGTGGAAGGGTGTGATGACTGTTGTTAATCCTACTGAGTATCTCTTTTTTTTTTTTTTTTGAGACAGAGCCTCAAGCTGTCCCCCTGGGTAGAGTGCCATGGCCTCACAGTTCACAGCAACCTCCAACTCCTGGGCTCAAGCGAGTCTCCTGCCTCCGCCTCCCAAGTAGCTGGGACTACAGGTGCCCGCCACAGCACCGGCCATTTTTTGGTTGCAGCCATCGTTGTTTGGCGGGCCCGGGCTAGGGATTCGAACCCACTACCTTAGGTGTATGTGGCTGGTGCCACAGCCGATTGAGCCACAGGTGCTGAGCCCTGAGTATCTCTTAATGTGTTGCTAAACTTGTTTAAAAACAAAATGAAACCTTGTAACTTTCTTTCCTGAATACATAATACGTATCTTTAAAAACTGAATTGACTTGCCTGTTTTTACCTACATGTCAAGTTACCTACCAGGAGTGGATTGCTAGGTCTTTGGTTAGGTCTGTGTTAATTATGGACAGATGTTGCCAGATTGTTTGCCAAAAAAGTTGTGTGCATGGTTTAAAAGAACTTAACTGGCTTGGTGCCTGTGGCTCAAGTGGCTAAGACACCGGCCACATACACCTAAGGTGGCGGGTTCGAATCCAGCCCGGGACCTGCCAAACAACAATGACGGCTACAACCGAAAAATAGCCAGGCATTGTGTAGGGCACCTGTGGGCCCAGCTACTTGGGAGGC